AAAGCTTGTGAAGCGCGTAGAGAACATCAGGAAGCGCACGAGAAGGAGTACATGTTCACACGTACTCTCTCTGGTCGACCCTTGCACCTTCAGGCATACCAAGCAAGTCGAGGAAGCAGCGAAGTCCGAAGGGAACTCGGATACAGCTGCCTCTTATGCAGAGATGGCTGAGTGTCCTGGTGGGAACTGCCCGAAAGAAGATGTGGCCCCGCCTGGCACTGACGATGCTGAGGTGGTGGGCAAAACGACGGAGCCAGTAGGGCGACCGGGATTAGAACGGAGGGTCTTTAGGTGTAGAGAAAGGACCTCGCCCGTTGTGCCAAACTATCCTTTGACTCGTCATGAGATGGTGTTCCCTCAGCCATGTGAGGAAGGATACGATTCGTCGTCTCGGAAGACATACAAGCCATGCCCATACAAACCTGTCTGGGAGGATCCTACTGCAGAGAAGATAAAGATCGAGAAGGAGATGAAAGGGTGAGCATTGATCGATGCCACCGACTATTGCCGCTTATTCGCTACAACTATCCATATCAAGGAGGATGCTCTCACGTCTCGGGGCATCACTCTCCGTATCGTCCGATCTACCGGGCCCACGAACTTCCCAGCATATCTTGTGTGCAGGTCCACGACTGGGAACGCAGCTAAAGCCAAGGCATCGGAAGCTGCCGACTCAACCACGTCTACAGAGGATAAGCCTGCCGGAGCAGGAGAGTCCATGGCAATTAAGTCATCAGTACCGCTCAAGACGTAGGCTGGGAGGGCATGGAGGTAGAGGGACACTTCGGGGTATGTCAGGTCGTTCCTCCGCCAGAAGAGCAGATCCTTACAGACATGGATGTGATTCATACCAATGTGCTGATCTCGAGTGTTGGGTGAACTTTTACGCGGAGTCGCTGCGTTAGACTAGATCCTCGCTGTCGCGTACCCGTCTCTGTAGCTACTACTCTTACTATTGATCTCTTCTAATGATTCTCAACACCATCATCATTGTTGGAACCTTGG